GGGGAGGGAGGGGTAGATAGTAGGAAATGAAATTGAATGATTTGAGATGAGGGTTTATATTAGAAATTTCTGTGGTTCCGTTCCGCTTGCTGGTATGATGTGTGTAATACTCTATATAGTTTGCGTGATTCGGTTGGTTGGTTGGTTGGTTCTTGTGGTTCTTGTGTTGTAAGTGACTTGGGGGTGGTGAAGGTGGAGGAGGGGTGTGAGGTGTGTTTCTTGGTATAGGAGTGAGTGAGTGAGTGGATGAGCGAGTGAGTGAGTACTTCGAAACATATTACAGTACGATTACATTCTTCATATTCACGACATTGTTCAGCCTTTTTCCGTTATCTCAATCAGCCAATCCTAACTAAACGAGTAAGATTCCCGTACTCGAGTACTCCCCACCTGTGAATTACATAGATATCTATCCCTGCACGATGCGAAAAACGTGGTGTGGTGTGGTCCATGATAGGGGATTGTGATCCTGCTACTGGGGTATACTTGCACTTGATGTGTTTTACGTACTGTATGTCGGGAAATGGAAGAGGGAGACTTTCTGGGGATTGCATTCGGGATTCGGGAAGGATTGTTGATGGATGGATGTACAATGTACGATGTGGACTTCGCCACGTTTCGTTTCGTTTTGTTTCGTTTCATGCGAAGAGGGTTGTACAGTACGGGGATGGGTGAGGGGTATTTAGGTGGTGTTGGGATCAAGATGGTGTTGGTCAGATGGAGAATGTTAGATTGGTTCTGGAAATAAGATGAGCCATCTTTTCTATGCCCGTTGGTGGTCAGGGAAGGGTGAGGTTGGAATCTCTTTTGTCCTACATAGCTAGTGAGCTCTCCCATGCCATTTCCTTACATCTGCTTCTTCAAGGCCTTAGACATTCGGATCTGTGATTCTCTCTTTATCTTTTGAGGAAGAGTCAAAGATATGTGAGAATTCATTTGTCGATTGGAAGGATGCGTTTTATGTCCTGGGGGTTGCTACGAGTAATTGAAGTTTTTCCTACTTTGTTTCCGTGGTTGAGAGATGATCGGGTGTTTTTGGTTGTGTTGTATATGGACAGGTAGCTGCATTAATGCGAACACTGGTACACGGTATGAACTTTAATATTGTTTCTTTTGTGGTAATCTTACAGGACACTCATTGTCATTCCAAGGCTATTGCGACTCGAACCCTAATAGTTGGTCTTGTTTTGGCGCACACTAGTACCACAGTATTACCTTTTGGGGGATTGGAATAGCGGTCTATGATGCTTTAGTACTATTCGGGTATTGTCACTTTGCACCATCTCTTGTTTGGAGAATGCGTAGTGTTTTGAGATTGGGGAAAATGTGGTTAGATGGACGTAAAACCTCCAGTCATTGCTTACGGTATCTGAAAATGGGGCCAGGATATTGTTGATCAGGGTTCATTTGTTTCTACCTATTTTACATGTTTTGCGTTAGAAATTAGTATATTTGGATCTACTACTGTATGCCAAAGAGGATTCTCTTATTAGATTAACCTAAGAGTGAAGAACAGCTATTTCTCAACGAAGTTGAAACTCGAACGGGAAATTCTAATTCACAGGTCGTGTCTAAAGAATGGAGAAATCTCTGTGCAGAGTCTTGTCCTGCCCAAAATACATGATTTATGATTGAATATGCTGAGATAGAAACCTAAGGTCGGATTCTATTTATGGCGTTTAAGTTTGAGTGTAATGTTTTTGTGAGTTCAATTGAATAAGAAAGAGAGAATGTGTCTTTCATATTTGCTGCGCACAGTAATCACTGGTTCCCAACTGTCTTGTGATCAAGATCGCTCCTTCCTCAGTCGTGCATTCCCGCCATTCTTGATCCCTGAAAGGCGGGCAAAAAAGGCACGACTCGCAAATCCAAACGACAACTCAGATTTGCTTGCCAAGATTCCTTGATGTTCATTGCATTAGTCTTACCACATCCTCTCATGAAAGCGAGGATAAAATCTCTTCGGGTTCGTGCCTCTGGCGAGAGATTTCGCCCAATTATTCTTGGCAATATCCTCTTCATTCCTTTTTGTATGAGCATCATTATCAAGATATAAAATTGAAAGGTATTCATCTATATGAGTTAGTGAACTTCCATAAAAGTAATTTTGGAGGAGATGTGTTACTAGCAAGTTCCCATTTGTTCCCCAACTCTTTTAGCACATTTACCAGGAGCGTTGCTTTGCTCTCAAATACCTTTCGCTCGGCATCACCGAACTTCTCTGTATCGTGGATAAAACTTGAGTAAACCTTTGCGGCTTCATAGAAGCAGTGGCAAATTAGAGGGTTGATCTTTCTCCAATCACTTGAAGAAACAATACCGCCCACCAAGCCTGCTAGATTGTCGACCTTTTCGCAATCCGCTTTAAGGTTTTTGGCAAATGCTCTGGTTGAAAATTTAGCGCTGTATAATATAGACAGCCCTGTCACTATGATTGGTTCAAAGCTAGTTTTGCCAAAATTAAAAGACAGTAACTTCGATTCTCCTGTCGAGATAAGACGATCAAGGTCAGCATTGATGTCTATACCTGACATCAAAGAGAACCATGGGCCTGGGGCTCTATCTCTGGAACGTAACGTGCGTGAGAGAAGTTGGATAGCTTGACAAGTGAAGGATAAGTTAGAAGTGATTAATTGGCTATTCGGAGCATTTGTGTCGAAGAGACGTGATCCTTCTACCCCGAAACAATTGAAGATGGGGGAATTATCAAGTAGATTTTCGTCGTCGCAAGCAAGTAGGGCATCGTCGCGGCCGATATTGACCATTCTTGATCGTCAGCAAGGTAGCGAAAGGGCATGGAGCGGTTGACTTACCTATCCAACATAACAAGGCCCCACCACGCTCGCCGTCGTTCCTCAGATACTGATCCAAGAGCTATTCATATCCCAATTAGTTGACATATCTGTGAAGCCTCAACATGAAACCCACCTCGGATTTTAGACTCAACATAAAACCCACCCCGTATTTTATACTTAGATTCTTCTTCGTGGAGTCGCATCGCGTGACCAACTCGAGCACAATGACCAATTGTTATATAAGCAGCTGAATATATAGCTTGTCCAATCTCATACAACGCAATCAACAAACCTGCCTGGAAGCATCTGAGTGAGTTCACATTCCGAGATTCTAGGTCAGCAGACAGTAATTTTGCTTTCTGATAATAATCTTGCGCCTCTCTCGAAACTAAATTGCTGAGGGCTTGTAGTACAAGCAAAAGCAGTGTTGTGTCCGTGTATAGTTTCGTTTTGGAAATATCATCGCTGGGCTTTCGGCAGTACCATTCTTCTACATCTTCCCATAAGCGAGCTCCTAGAACTGAAGACAACACGTTAGTTGGGATCATGGTGCCACAGCTACACAAGGATACTTACTAAAAGGGAAATATGTCTGTGTTCCTTTGAAGTACAGGTCTAAACTGTTGTGTGTGTCAAAGAGGTTTGTGAATTCCGGAGGGGTCTCAGGTATAGTCTGCGGAAGTTGGCACTTCAACTTTCTGAACATACACTCATCGAGAAAGTATATACTGGGAAAGATCTCGGGCTTAGACAAATGTTGAATAGAAGGCTACAAAGAAAAGTCGGCTAAGCAAAAACTGGTCCTTCTCTGCTTACGATGTAAATATTTGTCTGTATCCCTCCCACATCAGGCTCAGCGCCAGGAGAAGAACAGGTCTTTTGTCGCTTCGCGGGTGGTTCGCTTTCCGAACGATCCTCTGTGGCTTTTCGTTTCGTTTCTTCTGGTATAGGCGTGTTGTCGGATTCATTATTGGTCTTGTCCATTTTGTGGCGATATAGACCTCTACGCTTCTGATCGGTTTCAGATTTTAAGAATGAATATGATTTTGTGATATTCCAAAGACTGTGAAGGCGAAGAAATATATGGATGAAATGCGAAATGGATAAATCTAGCCTTAAATACTCTACTGACAAAGAACACTCATAAAGAGTGTTGGAAGGACGCGCCGTAAAAGTTGGCATTGAAACGAAGTAATCAAATTTCTTGAATTTGGTTTCCTCTCACAAAGAAATGCCCATTCACGAATGGCATACGATAACTTGAAAGATGGATGAGGGATACCAACTTAACTAACGTAAGCGAGCTCTTTGTTGGCTAAGCGAGAGCTCCAACCAACATCACAACAATCCAACACCAAAGAAACGTCGACAAGAATCTATTCGTAGAAACCTTGCCAAAGAATTAAGATGCATTTTCAGATGACAGATGTTGGTAATGCTCATTCTTTGTGCATCAATTCCGTGGTTTTGCAATCACTCAAATCACCACCACACTTTAATTTTAGGTGATTCTCTGCGGCAAAAAATCTATTTAGCGAGGAATTTGTACCGTCATAAGAGAAAAGCCCTAGCTCCAGCTAGTAGTTATACATATTTCCATGAGTCAAATTACTACACGCAGTGTTAGTGTCACCTAGATTATTTAGGGACGAGTTTGGGTCTCGCAGTGACTCTTGTAAACTAATTTGAGTACATCCATTTGGCTAGAATCCAGAGATGAATAAGGGAACTAGGAAAACTTAGCAACAGAACATTGAGCTTTTATGCAAATTAAATGGTTGTAGAGGAAGATAGTCATGCCGCATATACGATGTGGCGGAAGTAACGTCCTACCCCATACAGTGGTAGAAAGTCAGAAGCGAAAATCTCCACTTATTTTAAGCGGGCTGAGGCGAGTTATGAAGAAAATCTATCTCAGTCTCCTAGTCCAATGAAGGAGAAGATAGGACTGCATGGGACACTTTCAAATTAATACATGTGATTAAAAGTTAGAGTAAAACCAAACTAAGTATGAATGGTAGTGATTTAAGTCTACCATAATTCACCAGTTGAGTGACACCTAGAGGACATATTAGAGGACATACTTGGACTTCCTACCCAAGACAAGTTCCAGGAAGCTATACTTAGTTTGCTTACTCATAGTGAACCTCTATGAAGATAGCCACAATTTAAATGCCAGAACACCCCGAGCACCCATTTGGATATATGTAGATGGTGCTTGGTTGTATGTGTTAAGAGCTTATAGTTCGACCAACATGCATTGTCTTATAATCTTCTCAAGTCCAAGTGAAGAGTCATATGGATGGGGATTGGAATGGAAAGACACCTTAGTAAGCTAACAAAAATTCGACAAACGCAGTTAATGACCAAAACATTAAGATCACTGTAGATCATTCGATGAGGAAAAAGCATATAAAATACAGAAGATTCACACCTCTTATTCAGGGACGTGTATGATCCTAAAGATAATGGCTGATAAAAGTTACCTTCAAGATCTATAGAAAGCTCTAGAGTCCTCAGAGCCCAAATTTCGACACTTTCAAACTCCAACCTCCAAGCCTTCACACACTCACAAGCATGCTACAGCACAAATTACACGTGAGGAGACACTCTATCGACTTCAAAACAACCTTGCAAATTTCCAAGCCCGCTCAACTGACATCTTCTACGTCTTGAAACACCTCGACGGCAAATAAACTGTGTAAAGCTCAACCACAGCTGTGCAAGGGTCCCCAAAGGTCTAATATGTGTAATGACACGGTTATCGTCATTCCCTGCGGAATACACGTAATCTATTTCAGAACGGTGATTGAACATGGTCAGGCATGCACCCCCGGGCAGAGAAGGAGAGAATTCTATTCCGCGCCTGAAGGCGTGCAGTGCGTCTACAGTTGGAGAGTGAGGAATGGACATAATCTATTTGGTTATCCGGTATTCTATGGTAGCGGTGGATCTTAGCGAACCCTAATGTTTATATGTTGGACTTAGGCGCACGGAATCTTACACTGAGACCAGTCCGGAACACGTGTTTCTCGGGGGAGAGAGGGAGGATGGGCATGCCTTCATGGATTTTTGGGAAATTCATGGTAGCAATGAGATGAAAGAGTCGGTGCGAAACCTTACATGCGTCCTTGGATAGTGGTTCGGTAGCGGAAGATGATCTAGGGATTGAGACTCTAGCCAATGTGTAGTATGAGAAATTTGAGGCCCTTAATACATTTTTTGCGTTAAAATCCTAAGAAGAACCTATATAGAAAGATATCGCGGTGTTATTGGAACAAATTACTGGTGTATGGTTACCAAGTGAAGTACGTACGTATAGCATAGATATGCTGGCGAGGAATATATAAAAACATTCAGACTGCATTCAAAGCAATGACTTCTATTCAAAGGCGTACGCCATGCTAGACCCAATAACACTAACAAGTGGCCGTCCAGAATTTAGATATAAAGGCCCCTCCAAAGTCCCGGTATCTTGAAACTTTACAACCTCAAACACACACACATACACACAAACACACACACCCACAAAAAAAAAAAAGCATCAACCTCAAAATATCATTACAATACCTTTGATCCTTCCGAGGACTCCACAACGGCTCTCAGAACCTGCCCATCGAAACCGTCAAACCCAACTCGTGGGATCGAAACACTACACATAATATTACGATGTGCTGTGATTATTATGAGGTTTGGACCTGTGGTACAGAGCACGCTAGAAAGGTTCGGACAGATAAATGTCGATTGGCAAGAAGAATTGGAGCCCTATGCGCATGGAGAACGAGACCGCGCATATACGAACGTGCCCAGAGAGGTACTCAATGCGATAGATGCCCAAGGAGAGCATATCATTAGGCTTATGGAGGACGAGGCCGGTGAGAACGTCTTGATGGCTGTTCAAGCTGGTTCTGGTAGCGGAGCATGATCTAGGGGTTGGGCTGTTAGCGGAGACATAGCACGAGAAATTTGAGACCCTTACTACTTTTTGAGCTGCAATAGTCTACGTAGAAGACATGTGAGAAGATGTGATGCTGTAGAAATTGAATAACCGGAGTATAATTAAACACGAAGGTGTAGGATGCAATCGCTGGCATGGGGTTAAGTAAGAGTCAGCACGAAATAATCACACTCGAAAGAGATCATTCTCTCTATTCAGAGAAGCACGACTGTTTAGAGCTGAAAACATTCACATCTGATATCCCAGGCAGTATATAAATCCCCATAGAGTTACAGCAATTTCAACCTTTACACTTTCAAACTTCTCCACTTACAACCACACACACTACAACACAAAACGCGTACGAAATCTTTAACACAACCAACCTTCAAACACCCACAAAAGCCTTTGAAATCCTTAACGCGACCTTCTACAACCCCTTGAACCTCTCCAATAGCCCAAACACTCCGTTAAGAATTCATCGAGCGCTGTTTAAGATGTGTACCTACTACGCATTCGAGTACCCGTGCGGCCACTATTGGATCTGGTACTTCAGGCGAGGTATCTACTGTACCCGGCTCTGCCACGCACGAGATATGAATGCAATGATTGAACCCCCTGAGCTAGGCTTGTAATGCCCTGAATGCGGACTTTTTGTGACAGGGATTCATTAGGAATACACAAACAGAGTTTGATAAGCTTTGATGAGGGACTGTTAGTGACGATGGGATGCCGGTCATCCGCGATTTGGGGATTTGTGTAACTAGCGAACTTCAAAATCAAAACACGGGATAACCGAGACTTTGTATTCGTTGCAAATGACAATAATAAAACATGTTTGTGAGAATGTTGTGATGTTACGAGAACTAAACGCAGTCCTCACTTGAAAAGTGCATGCATATCCGCCAACCATTCGCGCCAACCCACCACGCAACCAAAACACGCCCAGCACGTCTCCTCGCTTCGCCTCGCCTCGCCTACGCCCATAACCATGACCAACCACCCCCCCCGAAAAATACCCAGTAAACCCACACAAACACCCCCAATTCTCTATATTCTGCTTTGAGCGAAGAACTGGCACCAAACAAGGTATCATTAGTAAGTTCGGGTAAGGCAAACTTTGTTTGGGTTGAAAAACCAACCTCCAGCAGGACTGGCCAAAGGCAGAGTTTTTCGGGGATAAGGCGCCCTTCTTTTGTACTTTTTGATTTTTTGGGTTTTTTTGGCGTTGTTTAAATGGATTGATTGCTTGATTCTTTTGCGATATTTTGATGCGGAGAAAAGTTGTGCGGTGGGTGTGGGAGGTTGGTGGTTGCGTAGCGAGAGTGAATCGAAGTGGTTTGTTGACCTCGTCACTTCGGCTAGATTTCACGTCTCGCTCACGTGTTGCCCGTTGCTGCCTACCTTGTGATTGACAACAGGTCCCTATTTTGATAATTTGGTGACGGAGCTCAAGATTAAGCGTTGCGGACGACGCTGATTCACCTTTACCACGTTCTTCCCTTTTGACTTTCTCAACTCTCGATTTTACAGCTTGCGACGTGAACAATACGCGTTACATTACAACACGATCTAAATCTTTAAAGCCTTTTGAACCTGCAACCCCGATCTTTGCTCTACCGGTCGATCTCGACTTTGCCACCTTGCACCTCGCTTTCGCGACTTCAACGGAGAAGATATATATTGCTCGCGACAAAGGTCATTGCTATGAGGCCTAGGCCTGTGAGGAAGAATTTGCGCGGCGTGAAGTCGCCAAAACGAGGATCGAACAGACCACACTCTAGCTTTTACGTTGCTCATAGAAGAGAGCCTCAATATGAGTGTAAGTTATTCGATCTCACAAGCTCTTTACCACAATCCCCACGAAGTTGCGCACTGCTTTGGACATTGACGTTCGAATCTTCTTGTTGTTTTCCCGAGACTCGGGGAAGGAAGTTCAGCCAACGTATGGCATCATCGATATTCACTCTTTGATTCTTGCAAAACGTTCAAGAAGACTCGTGGGACAAGGAACTTGGACTTTGCTTACAACTCCATTCACCCTTAAAGATCGACTCTTTTACCGAGCAAACTAATTAACAAATCGCAGTACTTGACCCTCAAATCCCACATCCCACCGACCCAACAAGAACACCAATCCTCTCTCTCCCCCCCGAACTCCTCCACATGATACTCTGGTACCTAGTCCACTCCGAACGCTGGATCGCAACCTTCAGCCTCTACCGCTGCCGTTCCAAAATCAACCAAGAAGACCAACCCCCCCTTCTTCAACTAACCCAAACCCTCATCGCCATCCGTCTAACCAACAAACTCTTCTACGAGACAGCAAGTTACATCTACTACACCACGAACCACTTCGTCATCGGCAACGGCCCCTGGGGCAGCACCACAAACCCCAATCTCCACGGGCTTCGACAATTCATACGAACAATCCCCTCCTCACACCGCGCGCTGATCCGAACAATCCGTCTAGGTCTGTACATGCACCGCGATCCCAACTCTCTCCACGGCTACAACGACACAAGCAACCCCTTCAACCCGGCCTTCTCCTTCGACACCTCCGGCACCATTTCGCTCGCCGGCCTGATCCTCACGCACTTAACTGGTGTCCAAAACATTCGGTTGTACATAGCGGAGCCGTTCCGAAATGTTACGAGGGATGAGCGGTGGAAGTGGTTTGTTAAGCAGGATGGGTGGTTCAACTTTGTTCTTTTGTTGATTCGGTGTCCCTCGGTTAGGAAGTTCATTGTGCTGGAGAAGAATTTGCACTTGCAGAGGAGTTTGTGGGGAGCTATTGGGGTTGCGCTGCATAGTTTTTCGTGGACGGGTGTTAAGGCGCCGATTGAGAGGGTTTATCTTGAGGTTGTTGGGTACTAGGGTGGTTAATGGGAGAGTGTGGGGGATGGTGCTTTTTTTTTCTGGTGTTGCGGAAAGGCACGACTTCAATCCTTAGGTAGTTGAGCTGAAATTGCAGAAGGGCTGCATATGAGTGGGACATCGAGCATCTGGTTTAGGATGCAGATAATCGTCGACATGGATTTATCATTAGTCTGTATCAATAGAGAAGGGAACCCAATTGACGTCATTGCCTTTGCATATCCGACACCCATACTAATACCTTCTGTAGAAACCCCGTAGTATTTCAAATGTGCAATTTTCCTGGAGATGATATGCAGTGCTCTCTCTCTCTCTTGCAGTCCTGTAACTGAGTGTGCTCTGAAGGTTCCTAGGAGCCTCTTCAGATTAAGCGAGGATCTCCAGAAAAGGGAAGTGATATCACCAGAACATGTCTGTATACCTAGGTCATCGTCAGAATCTCCTAAATCTTTTGATTATCTAATGTCTTGCTTGTTTCTAACGACGATATCTAGGTAGTTCCTATTTCTTGAGCAAAAACCTCTAGATACGTATCTCTGCATCGAATGTGTTACATCTGATTTGCAGAGATGCAAAAACGGAGAGAAGTATCCGCAAATCCATCTTATCATCCTAGTGATAAAATATATCTAGAACACCAAGCTAGTAGGCTAGATGGGCATGCCCAATTGCAAAGCTTCGCGCGAAACAAAACCGATAAAGTCATCCCAGACAGAAACACGAATGCATAGCCCGAAGAAAAAAATACACATTTTTGTTATCGAGGTTAGTTGGTGCACCTCATTTACCCCACGAGTCCTTGGTAACAAGGAAATGTTTACATAAATAAAGGGACGAGGGTGAAATGGGGGGAAGGGTTCGTTATACTCTAGCCAAGACCTTGAGTAGCGAGAGAGAGGGAAGGCACAACGTTGAGTCTCGTCCATAGAGTGAGATTGATCGAACTACAGAATATCCTGGACAACGAGCGAGGATGCCAGGGCTCAGGTCGCGCCTTCCCTTACCACGCTATATCTATAAACTCGGCTCGAGGTACTCGTCTTCATTCTAGACACGACCTTGACCCACAGCCGTGACACGATGAGATGAGACATGAAGGCGATTAAGTGAGTTGAGATGAGAGATGGGAGGGAAAAGGAGGGACGTCGTTCCTCGACCTCGCTTAAGAGTGTGAAATTCCGAATTGAGGTTCCACTTTTTCCCTGCAGCGGGGGAAAGAAGAAAATCAAGTCATGTCTGTCTCCGATTGCATCCGTGGTTGTATATTGTATGGGTATAGTTGATGCTTCACGCGAGCGATCTAACTTGGGCACAATCACCAGCAATCACCTCAGAGGTTTTTGACTTCAATCCTAGTCAACTCGCCAAGGTCCTGACCCCGAGCACCGTGCCGATAATTCCCCGATCCTCCGACATACCCGAAACGGCCCGACTCTCACCAGCCACCAGCCACCAGCCACACCCAACCCTCAGTCCCCCCTGTCAAAAAAAACAAGCCGACCAAAGTTCAGCCTCCCCAAATCCTCACACCGCGCCAAGTCCCACCCAACCAATGACAGCACCTCCCAGCCTCTTCTGATCCGCGCCGCTTATCGGTCAAAAAAGAGGATGGCGGGACAACCAAGAATACAAAAGTGCTGGCGGCGCGCCCATTTCTTTGGTTTCCTGTATACTTTTTTTGTATACTTTTCGAAAGGATTTTTGATCAAGGTCGTTGTCAACTCTTTGAGTTTTGACTTTGACGAATTGCGAGGATAAATTTTGGATTTGGATCTTTTGGTTGGGAAGATTGTTGTGATTCAGCCTTGTTGATTCGCAGCGACATCTACTGTATCACTTATCGATCATTCACTGATTCGAGTTTGGATATTGTTTGGTATGTTTTTACACCCATTTCTAACCTCCTTCACAATCACTCTCCATTCTACTTACTAACCGGTTCTCACAGATTATCCACACAGATTATCCACCCAATCACCCAACCTCTCCCCCAACTATAAAGCCACCACCCACTCCATCTACACCACATCAACCAACCAACCCCATCAAACACCTATATACCCCCCACCACCCACCACCCAACACCCCCTCCAACCCGCAAAAATGGTCCAACAAAACGACGTAATCGCAATTATAATCATCGTCCTCTTCATAATCCTCGCCCTCATCGCATACGGAATCTACCACCTCGTCTCCGTCGCCCGCCGGGGCGGTTCAAGCAGTGGATCCAGCTCTTCCCGTTCGCTCGTCGACGATTAGTCCCTTCCCTTTCTCACAAAAGCACTTCATCCTCCTTTCCACCTGCGAAATTCTTGTTCGCACTGGCTGGGTAGGAGGACGGAGAAAGATATGGGATTATGATTCATAGGCGTGGATATGACGGAACAGGAAAGGATGGGATGGGATGAGGAACAAATGTATAATGAAGCACAGCAGGGACACGGACAAACGGTTGTACACGACCATGAACGTACTTACGCGGGAATCTTGGAATGATGGGGTAGGGGATATGTATATACGATTTTGAACCGAAACAGGCATGAATATGACATAGCCGGGGCGTTACTGGGTAAATATGGAATTTATGGAACGGGAGCGATATAGCTCGTTGTATGGGATGTTATTCATCACACCCCAGGTATTATAGGGTATAGAAAATGGAAGAGCTTAAACAAAGAATCATCACGTTTTAACCTGGTCACTCTGATCAATGGGAGCTTCCTTGGTGTCGAGATATTCAAAATAACAATGTTATCACCTAGAGGGACAATCATTTAGTAACCATGTGATTCTGGAATGGCGGTCATTTTTTCGTTTGCATACTGTAAGGTATTACACACGAGGGAGAAAGAAGCACGATACTCAAATCGTCATTTTGTCATCACCCTACCTCCAAATCTGTACAATACAAAGGTGTTTCATAAAATGAAAAGAGAAGGCAACAGCGGAGCAAGCAAAAAGACGAAAAACAGCGTGACGCCCCAATGCCCCCAAATTTCCCATGTTTCCCCCCAATCCCATCGTTGAAATGCGCACTTGAATTTGCCAGAACAAGCAAGAAAAACGCAAGGAAAATAAAAGAGTGCCGCTGGTCGAGAAGACGAGAAGAGAGGGTGGAATTGGTATGGAGACAATCAGGCGTGTGTGCTAGATGATCCCATCAGAGTAGACTCATTTTTCATTAGCTTCTTCGTCTGGCTTCCATTATCTGAATATGCTCCAATAATAATATTGTGTGATTATTCTTCCAGGACTATCCAAGCTCAAGCTAGGTGCTAGAAGTTGTGATGATTTCTTTTCTGTCGAATTGCAATGCAGTATTCAAATAGAGTGCTTCATTGTTTAATGGTATCCGTTGTTCCCATTCCGAGTATATGTAGGTCCAAGTCCCCGACCTGAGTATGCTGCACTGCCATCCTCAAAGTATGGGTGTCGACATGCTGCCTTTGCGGATAGACGTCCTGCAGGATCGTAGATCAACAACAAGTCCAAGAGGTCGAGTCCAGCATCGTCGAGGTTGGAACAGAGAGGGACAGACATGTCGCGTTGCCACTTGGGGAAGGAGGTTTTGAAGTCGGGGAAACAAGTCTTGTCAGAAACACCAGGCCAATCCTGTTCAGTTGGGGTACCTAGAAGCCTGGGTATAGTTAGTATAGGTGATCAAGTCATTGATTGGCAGAAGCTCACTTGAAAATCTTGAAAATCTCGTCAATCTCGGAATCTCCTGGGAACAATGGCTTTCTGGTGCACATCTCTGCGAAAATACATCCAACCGACCACATGTCAACTCCTGTCGAGTATTGACGACCTCCAAGTAGAATTTCTGGTGATCGGTACCATAGTGTGACGACTTCGTGGGTATATGTTCGAAGGGGTACACCAAATGCTCGTGCAAGACCGAAATCAGCCAATTTAAGGTTACCATCTCTGTCAATGAGTAGATTTTGGGGCTTCAAATCGCGATGGAGGACTCGGTGGCTATGGCAGTATCGAACTCCCTCGCACAATTGACTCATGAACTTCTTGACCATGGCATCACCCAATCCAAGTCGTCCAAGGTCTGGTCCAGATCCTTCTGGTAGAGCCTTGCCTCGACCACCGTCAGAAACGGGCAGAGCCTCCATATATTTCTTCAAGTCCAAATCAAGAAACTCGAAAACCAAGTACAACTTGTGTCCATCGGCATGTACGATATTAAGAAGGCGCACAATATTTGGGTCATTCATCTCCTTGAGGAGTGAGATCTCGCGGATGGCGGTACTTGGAACTCCCTCATCTTCGGCCTCGAGACGGATCTTCTTGAGAGCGACAATTCGGCCTGGATGTAAGAGATCGCGGGCTTTGTATACAACACCGTAGGTTCCTAGACACGGTTTAATTAGCATGCGTGATCCGTGTTGGCGTGCAGCATTTTCTGCAGCCGGGGCAAGGGCGCATTTTGGGAGAGCGGCACCAACCTTCACCAATCTTCTCCAGCTTCTGGTAGTTTTCCATGTTGGTTTATGTGTATGTGCGGACGAAGGGCGTAAAGGAAAGTGGAGGGTAATTGATGCAGTAACAGCAATTCTGCTTTGCGATGTTCTGGTGGGGCGGTGAGGAAGGAGGGGCAGTTTTTGGGTACGTTATTACGGACGCATCGGGCGTGGCAAGTAAAGGTAAAGTGGAAGAGCAGAGGGCAGCAGTAGACAGGGCTGGAGGGAGAGACGTCGTATTTATTGTCGATATGGTCGAGGGATCTTACGATTCTGTTATGCCGTCCTGGGTGTCGTTGGTGGTTGTTGTCGTGGTGTTGAGAGGTCAAATACAGTAAACAAAACTTTGGCGCGCAGACAAGTCAACAAGGGAACGAACGCGATTGGGATTCGCTTGCCGGGGAAGCCCCGATCCTGCGCCTACAGTACCACATCAATTCACTCCTCTCGGCCTCATTACACGGTGCCAACACATCCGCATCTCATTTCACCAGAACTCGACTTTCAGAAGCTTGACTGGTAGCTTTCCTGTCAATCTCAAAACTTGTGTCGTGACGAGGTTATTCCGAGAGGTTTCGGGGTAGGAAATGGCCTCGGCATCACCAACCGTCACCAAGTCTTCACCCAAAGGCAAAGAAACACTCGATGCGTACCAACAGGCACCGAAGAAGCTGAAAGATCTATGGAAATCCTGGACGAAGGCTAAAGCGCCCTTTGAGGTGCCAGAACCATCTTCTACGAAACCTGTATCGAGTAGTACAGCAGACGATGCCTTACATGCAGAGTTTGCACGTTTTGTCTTAGAGCACCTCTCTGTGCTCTTTGCTGGAGACTTCGAGGCATTGGGAAAGTTTTCAGACGAATTTACATCGTCCAAGTCGGCAAGCGCCTTCTCTCTTGAGAACGTAAAGCTTTCAGATGAATCCAATCGAAAGCCTTTTACGGAAGCAGAGTTCAAGGAATTTTCAAACCAGCTTATAGAGCCGCTGGTCAAATCTTTCAAGTCGGAAGAGACTTTCCATGCAGCCTACAGCCCTAGGAACATACCAGGTAGACAAAATTTCTTTTCAGTCTACGAGGCGTCAAGTTTGATCACTTTACCAACATTTCCAAGGATGGGGCCTTTGCTGATTCGAATGCTCTGACATCTTTCTCAGGTCTGGTTGTTTTGCCCAAGCTCTTCCCTCCCATTGTTCAGCAGACTTTACTCGATCAGCTCTTGCACTATGAGCTCTCAAATTCAGAGAACCAAACCAATTTTCATCTCCATTACAATCTTTCCTACCCTGAAAACGGGGCCTCGTTCTTCTCAACCAAGCCTGAATCTTCTTCGTTCTCACCAAAAAATCTAGATGAGCACAAACCCATGTTGAATCGCACGGCTTTGGAAAAGAATTTACACTGGGTCACTCTTGGTGGCCAATATGATTGGACAAATAAAGTTTATCCAGAGGGGAAACCACCCGAATTTTCAAAGACTATCGCCAGATTGATAGGGCATATTTTTACTGATATGGTACCGGAAGCTGCCATAATCAACGTTTACTCTGCAAGGGACAAATTGAGCGTGCATCGCGATGTTAGTGAGGAGGCAGACCGAGGGTTGGTAAGTATCAGCTTGGGATGTGCTTGCATTTTTATCATTGGTCTCGAGGACAAAGTCACCAGGGAGCTTCATCAAAAGACTTTGAAATTGGAATCAGGGGATGTTGTATATATGGCGGGGGAAAGCCGATACGCATGGCACGGCGTTCCGAAAATTATTCCAGACACTACGCCGGACTATTTGGCTTACTGGCCCGGGAAGTTGTACCCGGGCTGGCACGGATGGATGAGCAAAAAGAGGATCAATCTCAATATTCGCCAGATGTATGAGCAATCTTCTACTGATATTGACGATGGTGTTAGTAAGAGTGTTAGTTGAGAATAGAGACTTTCTGATATGATTGGGTCCCACCTTTGTATGCTACTGATAACGTTCAGGCACTGTGGACAGTAACGCCTACCCCACCTTTTTAACAAGGTACTTTGTATCTCAACCTAGACTTTTCTACCAGATGTCACCTTTGATTTAAAATCCTGCTCTAGACCTCTCCAGTTTAAAGCATACAGAATTAATCAATTGATACTCGTCAAAAACGTAAAATGGATTGGAAAGATCTCGCAGCAGCAAAACGCAGCGCCGTCAACGCACTCATTCCAGAAGCATGGAAATTACCGACACCCATCCCTTCATCTTCGGAACAAAAGGATGTCACTGGAAAATACATCCAACAATTTCTCTCCCCCAAAGAGATTGAAATCACCGAAACTGATGCAGTTGGAATCGTGAAGAACACTACTACCGGGGCCTGGAAGGCCCAGGAAGTCATTGAGGCATTTTGCCATTGTGCGGCACTTGCTCATCAATTAGTGAGTTTAGAATTCCGGATGAAGATATTGATTCACATTCTAATTGAGGTAGTTGAACTGTCTTCATGAGATATTTTTCGATGCTGCTATTGCAGATGCTAAGAGAGCAGATGAGTATTTTGCGACTCATGGAAAGCCACTAGGACCCCTTCATGGTCTCCCAGTCAGCTTGAAAGACCAATTTCATGTGAAGGATGTTGAAACGACAATGGGTTATGTTGGTGTAAGTCACTTCTTATATCCGAGCACTCATAATGAGCCGTTCCTCAAACGCACGTCCAATTCCTAGTCGCTTACATGAATTGATATGCAAATACAATGCTAAATCTCAACAGTGGATAGGGACCTTCGAAGGCGTCAAAGGAACAGGCAAAGAAAAGACCTTCGAAAGCGAAATGGTAAAAGAACTCCGCTCCCTAGGCGCAATCCTCTTCTGCAAAACCAGCGTCCCACACACTCTCATGTCCGGCGAAACAGTCAATAACATCATCTCCTATACCTGGAATCCCAAAAATCGGTATCTCGCCTCAGGCGGAAGTTCCGGCGGAGAAGGCGCGCTCATCGGTGTCAAAGGAAGCCCGGTAGGCTTCGGAACCGACATTGGAGGCAGTATTAGGATTCCGGCGGCGTTTTGTGGATTGTATGGTTTGAGACCTAGTAGTGGACGACTTCCGTATGAGGGCATGGCGAATAGTATGGATGGACAGAATTCGATTCTTTCGGTTGTTGGGCCGTTGGCTACTTCTGTGGGGGCTTTGAGGTTGGTGGTCAAGGGGATTTTGAGTACGGATCCTTGGTTGCATGATCCGCTTGTTGCGGAGATTCCGTGGAGGGATGAACATGAGAAGGTGGTTCTTGATATTGTGAAGGATGGGAGTGGTGGACAGTTGTGTTTTGGGATCATGAGGAATGATGGAGTAATTCATCCTCAGCCACCTCTGAAGAGAGCTCTTGATATTGTTGTCAAAACTATTGAGAAACTTGGACATAAGGTTATTGAGGTAAGCAACATAAGATTCCCTCAGGTGTTAACAGAAGATATTTACCGAGGTGTATAGTGGTCTCCTCCATCTCACAAAGAAGGCTTGGAAGTAGCAGTAAGTAATCCAATCCCATATCAACCCAACTCTACTAACAGGTTTTAGTTCAAAACATGGATCTACGACGGGGCAGCAGACGGTAAAACCCCATCCCCCACCAAGCACCTCACCCTAACACCTCATAGTCCAAGCAGCCTTCGCCCTCTCGGGCGAACCAATGGCAACCCAGATCTCCTCCGTCTACGGCACAAGCCAACCCCAATTCACAGCCTCCCAAATCGCCGCAAACAACGTCGCCAAGCGGCAATTCCAAAAGTCCTACATGGAGTACTGGAACTCGACCGCATCGCTCACCGGCACAGCACGACCAGTCGATGCTGTGATCTCCCCCGTCGCGCCGTTCCCGGCTGCGAGACCAGATATGTATGAGTACTATGGTATGTCCCACATTTCCAAGTTAGAGGCTGAGATTTTGTTTTGGGCGGGATAGGAAGAAGTTCTTGTATAAAGATGGTGAGAAGGCTAAGAGGGTGATGCCAGGTTACACGACTTGGGTCAACTTACTGGATTATTCGACCGCAGTGCTGCCGGTCACGATCTGTGATAAGACGGTTGATGTTAAGGATACGGCGTTTAAGGGATTTAGTGATGAGGATGAGAGGGTTAATGAGGCTTGTGAGTTTTCCCGTTCTCGCTTTTGTGGAGACGTTGGATGTAGAAAGTTGTAGGTAAGATTACTGATTTGAGATAGATGATCCGGAACTATATGATGGTGCACATGTCGCCGTTCAAGTCGTTGGTCGCAAGTTTCAGGAGGAGAAAGTCCTTGCTCTTGCGGAGATACTGGGGGATGCTTTGGGGAAGCATGTCGCTTAGGTTATGGCAGGTATTTCTGAGGAACATAAATACTGTGGTTTCTTGCTCTGTAGACGAAGATAGTCTTTGGAGTACCAAGTACATTCCTTTGAGAGACCAAAGAAGATGAGGTTAGGTAATGGGTCTACTATTATAGTATTTATAACCTATATTCTTCTCATTCTAAATCTGCTAATCAGCTTGTTCTATACCTTCGAAAGCTATAACAAAAGTATATTATAGAATAGATTAATATATTTACTACTACCATAATCTAATACTTAAAATCTATAGTAATGTAGTTACAACAGTCCAACTGACCAAGACCTAGATTTTGGGTTACTATAGCACATATCCGAATATATTCTAGATAAGCCCTTTAAATTCTTCAAACCACCATCTAAAGACATGCGACCCTGGCCTTCAATTCATCGAGCTTCTTCTTAGCCTTTAATGCTACCCCCGTAGCCTCTACTACTCTCGCCTCAGCTCTGACCGAGTCGCCCCAGTGCTTACCAATTCTCCTCTGCATTCCAAGGATACAATCCTGAACCATTCTCGCCATCGCCTTTTCTACACAAAGGTAGTCCTTTCTGTTATACGACCTTCTGCCCCTCAGATCAAGTTCCTTGACATCCATTTGAAACCACTTGTACATCTCCGAATCCACTGAATCGTTTGGAACCTGATCAATTGATTCCATTATCTTCGTGTGATATGATCGCACGCAAGTAATCTTCTTGCCTAGGTTCGTGGTTTTGGCGTGTTATGGTATTGAAGTTGTTGGGATTGAAAAACTGGAGATTCTATCGAGCGTGTTAATGGTGATGTTATAACCTGGAAGATGGTACAAGTGCTTCTCGTTGAAAAGTTATCCTACTATCATTGACTGGAGGGGATGTCTACTTCTACAACTCTCCTCACAAAGAACTAGAAATCCACATGGTGTTGGTGTTACTATCCTAAAAAGAATATGCTGGGATTCTTGGTGCCGTGGGAGATTCATGTGGAGTTCGTGGATGCTTGCTAAATCATTTTGATGGGCTTATCGTCTATGGAGTGTTTTAAGTAATGTTGGTTGGACCAAATGTTGGCACAGAGGTTACCAACCAACAACTCATCATGTTTACAGAATAGTCATACTCTCCGTTTCTTCTCTGGGAGATTTGAAGGGTTATGTACTGCCATGTTTTGGAAGTATTTTTCTCTTTCTGCAAATCATGTAGTAGGGTCAGTTATTTGGTGCTTTCAGCTGGCTGACTGGGTCTCTTGACTTTGACACTTTGTGTCACCTTTAGGATGATAATTTTAGGTCATGAGTAGATTTGAAAATCAGTTGGTAGTTTCTTTTTGGTCTTGAAGTTTTGTGACAAAGGGTTGTAGAGTTTTATGAGTGGAGTCACTTCTTGGGGTTGGTGTTGGTGTTAGTGTGTTGGTAGTTCAATGTTAGTGCTGGGATGCTGTTTCACCAACCAGTTACTTAAGTAAAGTCTCTTCTTCTAAGATGCTTACCATCAGAGAATCTTTAATCTCAACATGAATCCAGGGTAAATGAGACACTTCACAGACTTACATTACCATGGACTGACATATCTGATGCGCTTTGAACAAGCTCCTGAATTCTCTAAATCGATCTAATAAATTTATGACGTACTGGTAGATCCATCGATGTTATTCTCGCATTCATTCAGCTCCTAATAAATTTCTAACATCATCATTAAGTGTTTGTCAAGCTTCCTAACCACCTTTACGACCAACGCCGCCATCTGTGTCTCTGCATGAAGGTAGTTATCATTCTGCTCCATATCATTACGTTCTCCTATTTCCATACCAAGTATGGTTCCATATAACTTTCTCACTTCTTCATAGTGCACTTTCTCATGGTCCACTTCTTCGCTGTCAGTTTCTTCACCGTACGGTTCTTCACCCTCCAACTTTCTTAGTTCTTCATTGACCAAGTCCCACGATGGAAGTATTCCAGGTCTTCGAATTTTGACGCGGTAATAAGCTACCACAAGATGTATCTGGTCCACAAATGAGAAGCCTTTGGTGAATTCTTGCAAAGTTTCCATAGTGGATCTGTATTCTGCAATAGTGTCTGCCATATTGTGGTTTTAAAGATATTGGTAAAGATGTAGAGCTATGAGTAAGAGTAGTTCTGATGGCAGTATTCGGAAAAGATTGAATAAACACTTCTTGTAGAGAGATGGATAAAATTTTAAATTACGGCCTAGAGAGGGCCCCTACTTATAAAATTTCTCACAAAGAAGAAATGAACTGAGGAAGGATTTGGATATCGTGTTGGTACTGACATCAATATGAAAAAAGAGTGGAATATGTAAGTGATTGATTCAACCAACCTGTGCCTTGTTTGAACAAAGGACATACAACAGGAACGACAAAGCATTTTGTGGCACAATGTAATACTAACAAACTGGGACTGTTGGTCCCGCGAGGGCTTCGCAATATTCTCCAAGAACTCTGAGAGGAATGAATGAATGGTACACGTATTTAATCCTTTCGCAAGGGCCCTATTTGGGAAATTCGCGTATCTCAACTTTCGCATATTGAGGAGGGGTGGATATGCGCCTGTGTATAAACCAGATTTATGGCATGTGGAACCCTAATTTGGTTGCAGTATTTGGTCTCCTCAGCTGGTTGGTTTCTTGGCATCTGCGTTACAGCTAGGATGGTGTTGGATAACTCAGGCAGGGCTGATCTGATGTTATGACGCCTCACGAGGTTGGGATAAAGAGATCTATAGGACTGCGTGAAAAAAGAATCGCTCTAGAGAACAGCTTTCATTCGAACATGAAAACCCCTCAAAAAAGATTGGATAAATTCCTACAATTTGGAAAACCGCTAGTTCAAGCCCCAGGCTCCTTAGTTTTCTTGTCCAGTTCCTCAAGGACACCCATCACTAAAAAAACCATAACCTTCTCCGTCAAAAGGAACTCTTTATAGACAGCAATGCCTTCACCCCCATGAGTTGTAACCAGATCATGGCTGAACTGAATCAACTTTGTCTTCGCACTAAAACTGTACTTCTCGTCGTACGTAAGACTTTTTTGGTACCAATTTTATAATCTCGTACCAATTTCATTGTGCTCCCGAGCACTAAGGATCATGCTGTCTCAGTGCTGGTAATAAGAATGAACCAAATTCTGTTTGGGGTTTGTTGCGGATCTTGAACAGCGTATTGAAAGCTAAATTGAGAATTCTTGCCGCTATTGTCTAGTGTATATCCTTTGGAGGGGCATAGAGGTTGTGTGAGGTCAGACTAGATGACTATAAGTGGTGAGCAGAATTGAGTTCATTTACTGTTTTGTAATTGTACTGTACCTACAAGTTACTGGCTGTTGGCAAATACAGTTACATTCGATTTAAGCTTCAAAAGTTTAAAAAAGTTTATAAAAGTCTATGCTTAGAACTACCCCTTTTTACTACCTTATACAACTAATCATTCAAATCAATAACGCTATATAGCCCTAAGAACATCTGCCAACTACTTATCTCGTCTATATACTACTACCTAGCCCTAAGAACATCTACTAACTAACTGCCCTACTCTCCTTGCCCTGCTCTCCTACGTAATATAGCGGTACGTATCACCCCTCGAGAACGAAACGAAATTATCGCGGTTTTCCTAGATAGCGACGACCTAGACCTTTAGGAAATCGTAGACAGGTTTTTACAAAGTAAGGAGCGTATCCGCCTTATATTTAATACTTACCTTACGAGCTGTAGAATTATACGTTAAGAGTTCCTTGAGGAGTAGGAACTCTATAGGCTACAACGAGAGTAGTAAAGGTAAAAGAAGGTATGAGAAGTTATAGGAGGAGGGGATAGAAGAGAAGCGGTAATATAAGGAGGTAGAGGAGTAGAGAGCTAGGGAGGAGGAACGTGAGACGGTAAAAGAAACGGCTCGAGTAAAGGAGAGAGAGTAGCGAGAGTAGTAAATTTAACGGGTTAAGGAGAGAAGAGCAACAAGGAAGAAAGATAGGAGACTTAAAAGAGAGTACGAAGTATATATATATAAGGACTTAACCTATAATATGTACAATAGAGACGGTATACCGGATTTGTGACAGACGTGCTTCAGGTAGAACTCAGAACAATTAACACTCTATTCTTAGGACAAAAGACGAGGAAAGAAGGAGAGCTCGAGAGAGCTGGGAACTAAATACAGGTCGTGCGCGCTAGCGCCTCGCTAAGCGAGCATGTGACATCCAGCCCTCGTGACCATAACCGTCACATCACCCCCCCCTTTAAAAAGAGCTCGCCCCGAGCGTTGAAAATCTGAACTAATTGTGAAAAATACCCTTTTGCCAGGCATCTGGATGGTCAGGATCGTCCGAATCTACCTCCGCGCTATCGTAAGCATTGTCGTTCATAGCTGCTATTACTACTCTGCCTGGTCTTGCAATCTGCTTTCGTACTGGCTTTGGGAATGCCTCCCCAGCTGGTAGATCCCCCAAATCTATGGCTGATTTCCTTCCTTGTGGTCCTGGTGAGAAAGGACGGAGTATGCAATCGTTGACCCAGTGTTCCAAGGAGCCACATCGTACACACCTGCCTTCAGCTCTATATTGATCTCTACGCTCAGGGGAAATAGAGCGAGCGCGTGGAGGAGAGGATGGGTCGATGGAATTGATGCTAAAAGCATTTATGTCCATTGGTTCGCTGTGGTGGTTGCCAGAGGAGTAGGACTGTGTAGGTTGTGTAGACGAAGAGAAGCGGCCTGCTAATTGTTGTACGACGCGTATGAATGTAGTATAATCGCGAGGTAGGTTGAGTTGTTGAGAAAGTCGTCCGCGAAGAGTAGAATTAAGGCCATTCCTAAAGGTGGAAATTTTGTTGACATCTGGCCAGTCCTGACCTCTTGCTTCGTAAAGGACACGCTCAAACTTGGCGATATATGTAGGGACTGAGTCAGCACCTTGCTTGAGGGCAAATAGCTTGTCTTCCGCCTCCTGTACCTTGTTTGGATTGTCGTACACGCGCGCGAGCTGTTCGAGGATTGTTTGGTAGTCCCAGCTTTGGGTGTCTTCTGCTTGAGAGAGCTGTGGAAGGACCATGGCTTGGACGTGGGAGTCAAGGTTGAGGTAGACGTAGTAGAACTGCGCAATAGCGTCTCCAATAGCTGTACCGTCGACTCGTAGCTTTGCTTTGATTGAGGGAAGCCAGGTGTCGAATTTATGAGCCTGGCCAGTGAATTTGTCAGGGTCTGGGAGGGAAGGTTTAGGCTTTGCGGATGTTCTTGACCGGAGTAAGTGAATCTCGTCGCGCTGTCGCTGGACTTCAGCTTGCAACTCAGCGATGGCGGACTGAACTTGAAGGGCATCCATTGTAGAGAAGTCGAAAAAAGAAGAGGTTTCGTCGTGTTGTAAAGTGTAGGGTTCTTGCGCACAAGAAAGTGGTAGAAATCGTGAGAATTGAGACGTAAGATCGTGGACCTGAACTTGGACGTGAACGTGAACTTAGACCTGGGATACTTAGCCTCAACTAAGGGTCTTTTGTAATGTGACAGACGTGCTTCAGGTAGAACTCAGAACAATTAACACTCTATTCTTAGGACAAAAGACGAGGAAAGAAGGAGAGCTCGAGAGAGCTGGGAACTAAATACAGGTCGTGCGCGCTAGCGCCTCGCTAAGCGAGCATGTGACATCCAGCCCTCGTGACCATAACCGTCACAGGATTGTAGGGGTGCAATCGAATTTATAGACGATTCCGAGGTAGAATCCTAAGTACAGACTTTTATAAACCTTTCTAAACTTTTTTAAACTTTTGAAGCTTAAATCTAATGTGACTGTAACAAAAGTAATAAATAATGATTAGCAAGTTGTACTTTGCAGCTCAGTATGTCTAAACTATGCAAGCTATAATGTAATTTGTGGAGAGTTTCAGGTTACTTCTCTATTAAAAATTGAATTATGTATTTAGTCTGTAAACATGTTCCTGTTACTTGTTTTTCTTGGCTTCAAATACGTTGATATATAAACACAGTAGCCCTGATTTGCGGAGCCGATGTACAGATTTCAATAAACTAGATACATTTTCTCGTCTACCTGGTATCTTCTAAATCTTTGACAATTTCTTCCACATATCTAAATCGGTATTCTAGATTCACTAGTTCAATAATAAGCTTTGATATCTTGTCATTTTGTATCAATACTTGTTGCTCCAAATCGGGAGAAGGTGGGTACAATCGAGGTACTGCTGCGTCATTTGTTAATGTGCATTCAAATGTTTGTTTTAGCCAGGATGTTCGCTATCATTACCTTCATCTCCAAATTCCAATGAAAATCGCCCAATAAGAAACTCCACCACAAGCTTGTCTTGGGCCCTTTTGGTCAGGTTACGAAGAGAGCTCTTATGTCCAGGAAACACTCTGGGGTCCAGAATCACGTCAAGTGAGTCCACGCAAAGTTTGCCTTCATCCTGACGATCGAGCAAAAGATCCCGGACATACTTATCGTGCGAAGGATTGGCCGGTTTTCTGTAGAGGATATGGTATTCGAGATGCCCTTCCCCATCCGAACCTGACAACAATGTCGCACCAACGCGTATGTTCCGATCTTCTGAAAGCCATCCAACGTAAATTGAACCTTTCAAGCTCCATTTGTTGAATTGTTCAAGAGTTAGCTCCACTCGGTCGGAGCGCTCAGTTTTCGGCATGATTTCGTAAAGCGTAAGCAAATATTAAGTTCTGAACGCTCGAAAAAAAGAGTGATAGTGACTTGAAGATGAGGGATTGGCAAGAAGAGATGGCTATAATTATGGTATCAATATTTCTGACTCTATCACGCCAGGGCTCATGTGACCATACTATGTGAGTCTCAATGGGGATCTACAAATCGGCAAACTGTAACATCTAATCAATCGTCAATAGGCTTTTTGCAGTAGCAAATGGTGCTAAACCTTCGTGGCAAGTCAAATATGTCGCAATACATACTCATGTTCGTCAGGATCCACTAGAAAGAGTAAAATTATAGCTACAATGACTTAAAGCGTCATCATGTCAAGGGAGTTGATTCTTAGCTCGTCAGCCATCTTGAAGATACCACCGAACATGACTCAAGTCTTTTAAGAACGATAGCGGTTACTAATTTGCGGACTTATATTCGTAAGTCCTTGAGTCATCTTAGATTCACTTACGCAAACAAAGATTCCTTGGTAGAGGTTTGCAGAGATCAAATCCGTCCCCTTCTTCTCCGAGGGAATACCCTTTCGTATGGTACTCTCCCCCGGAGAATTAAAAAGTGATTTCTCAATGGGGTTTCATGGGAAGAGAGAGAGAGCCAGAAGTTCACTTATTTGTGCCAGTAAAATTTACAATTTGAGTGTTATTTGTTTTCAAATCTCTCTCTAAATCGGAAGATCAACAGGGTAAACCGGTGTCCATCGTCTCAATAACACAATATCCGACCATCCTTCTTGATACACTCGAAACCAGTCTGAACTTCGAGTACCTCATTTCCCCAACATGTCTTCCTTCAACATATACTATGTAGCACGCTGAACCCATACAAACTTTCCTTAATCCATTCGTCCTTTGCCGGAAGTAAGTCGTGATTTCCAGGATGCAAGTAAGTTTTTAATGGATGAATGGGGTATTGTGTGACAGTCCGAAGAGGAGGCACCTATGAATGGTTAATATCCTCGCCTTCTAGAATTGTATTTGGGGTACATACACACTATCGGCAAAACTCGAAATCGTCATCGGAAGCAGAGCCACGGGAAGTAGAGGAACGTCCACTTTCTTCTTGGGCCTTTCGTTGGAGGTATTCGAGGATCAACTTGGACTTGGTTTCGTCGCTCATATCTGGTACAAGAATTGTTTCGGTGGAGCTAGAGAACAAGTCGGTATCCAGGTCGATGTCGCTTACTTTGATACCTCCCATGGTAGGCGCGAACATCCCGTCAAGGGCATCCAACAACCAGTTATTCCAGCCTTGATCCTCTTGCTCCTTGTCGACTGTGTGGTCGAGAGCGTATTTGAGCTCAAAGCTCGTAGAGGTCAATAATGCGACGGCACGGATCTTTGGTTCGCCTTGTTTACATCCGATAACATAAGCCTTTGGGGGTTCTGGCTCGTGAGGAGTGGCGGACTCTGCCTTTGGTTGCTCTTGGGGTGTTTCGTCCTTCTTCTTTGATGAGAGGAACCACATGATGATGATGAGTTGCGATGTCTGAGGGTAGCTTTATAAAGAGGTTGATGAATCCTTCGCTTCCAAATTCTCGCTTAGCGGTGTCGCAGAAGATATTGTGGGATGAGTTTGATATCTGCGGCAGATCAGATCGCTTTTCAAAGAGTGTGGTTGAGAGCTAGAAGTGCGAGGAGGTTGATTTGGCCTGCTCTGAATAGAATTTAATACTAGTCGGTCAATTGACTTCCGACAGGGTGTGCTCGCTTAGCCTATCAGCTATCACGTGGCATCAATTCACAAAGTATTATTCACTGATATCGTAGGATAGCTGCTTGTCTGAGTAGTATGTAAAGCAACCCTTGAAGTCTGATAAGTTAACAGACATTCACTGACGGATGGTCATGGAGGAGGTATATCCCCAGACCAATAACGTCCTAGGACAATGTAATCTTACGTTTTATTCATCAAACATAGAGTCAGCTTATGATAGACATGTACATACTAACCTCATTTAATATCATTGTACAATTGATCTCAGACAACATTGTTTAAATAGCATTATCTAGATTACTACTAAATAAGATCATATCTGAATTTTTGTTTATAATGATCTTGCTTGACAGGTTTGATGAAAGTCTATTTGGTGAATCTTGTTTATTCATTCCATTTTCAGAAATCTTGAGCCACTTGTAAATATACTATATCTGATTATAAAGTTTTATTAAATCTTACTGGTAAATAGTAGGAGTACAAGCTTGTTAGGGGAATTAGGAATATATAAATGTAGTCTAAAGGAACAAATGATTAACCTTATTTTTAGGGGTTTGAAGTAACATAAGTAGCTCTTTGACCTTACGCTAAGTAGATACTATAATCCGCTGTAGACTTTAACCTTAATATCTCTATACACCACCTAAGACTCTGGTGTGCTTCTCGTTAGATGCAAGCGAGTTCACCACAATCTAGTAAGAGTCATTACAAAGTCCGTAGTCAATTACTTCAAAACAAGTGTTCTTTTCTCAAGAATACAAACTCATTCTCTAAAAAAGACTTCTGAGAGAATTCCCCTTTATGCGGTTCCCAGACTCAATAGTAGAAGAACTCAAAAATGCCACACTCGGTATGTATTGAAGCTAGTTAAGCGTGGCCTAAGCCTTATTAACTATTGGCACGGAACCTTTGGAGGGGATTAGCGAAGGACATTCTTGAGATTTCTTTTAGTATCTACCTACCATCTTCAGATCACCCTATTTTGATGTCATCGGGTGAAATATTGCAGCACTTGGATTGAGAGGCGCGGCGTGCTTTACCTCTCAGTCCCAAACAATAGTTACTATCTGATGAGAGTCAAATTGATTCTGTTTAGGGAGGGGTAAAATATTGCAGGTGTTTCGGAACAGGGTCCAACGCATTGGTTTTCTGGTCAATCGAAACTTTAACATTCAGCACCTTTATCAGTACAGTAAAATTTTAGATTTACAATACATATCATTATAAAATTCTCGTCTTTCTTTTAGATATCTGGAGACAACTCTGCTTCTCCCCTTGCGATCCATCCAGTTCGCACGTCTGCCGCCATTTTCTAAAGATGTTGTATATAAAATCCTAGAGTAAACAGTGGTTTATCATTCACTATGAGAGCGTTGATATAATGGCCTGTTGATGCAGCAGTGTTCAATAACATCACAGTTTTTTGAAGCGGCTACAGCTACATAGGAGTTTCGATTATGCCGTCCGATGATGACAATCTCCAATTTATTTCCTGCTGTTTTTTATTCCTGACCTACAAGAGAAAAAAAACAGAGTCGGTGTGAATCTTTGGTCAGATAGTCGTTAGTATGCCATACATACACTCATGTAAACTCAATATCGTATGCCTGAAAGCTTCAAACAATGATTGCAAAAACTCTTGATTCTACCACTAAGCTTAGCTGGCTGAGTGAGGTACTTTGGAACTTCTAACACTATAGAATTCTTCAAGAGGAAGGAACAATGCCCATGCCTCTTAGAATTATCCAACAGAACTTAAGTGCAAAGTGATACAACCAAGCCTAATATTTACTGGATCCATAGAATGAAGAACTCTCTTTCCTGAGCGTTCTCCCTCCTTGACACGCCCATGTAGAGCAAGTTCGCCGAAAATCAAACCCCCTCTCTCTTCCAAATTATCCGTGAAGGCTCCCATTTATTGCAGTACTCCGTGCACACTAATTGAGGTCGAGCAGCCCTCACCTTCTAAAGTTGGCACCTCAAAGCTTCCGTCGATCAAATCTTTCACCCCGAGAACCTTGCCGTACCTCTCCCTCACCGGTCCGCTTCCTTCTCACCAACAAACACATTAAATCCTTCAACACCGAGCGCACCACACGGATGTGTAACGTTTTCTTCATCAAGCGGGACTCTCAATCTTCTATCGGTAACATCATGACAAAAGAAAGGCAGAACCCCCCGTTGAGAAATCCCACTTTCACCACCAATCTTCGGAAAAGTAACAAACCACTCGACTTTCTGGCCGTCAGGTCTAATTCTCGCTCCCGCTCTGGGCTTTTCATACTGGATTCCAGAAACTCCACCGAGTCGTGAGTTTACACCCTCAAAGTCCGCTGGTAATCGGCAGTTTTGGAGTCGGCAGTGAGCGCGAAATCAATAAACTCTCCTTCTTTCTTGTTACCCCACCAGTGGGTTGATCGTCCACCAGATTCGTCAGCGAACGGCGTGAAGGCTATGAGTTCGATGTAGGAACCATCACGGAAGATTATGAGTTTGTTTTCGGTGAGACCATCGGAGTGGGCGCCTCCAGGTGAGATGGTGAAGTTGTCAGTCAGAGAAGAGGGCAGGGAATTGAGAGTTTCGTAAGGGAGAAGAATGAGTATATGATCTAGCGAGGGACCCATATCAAAGAATAGTTTGAAATATTGCGTTCCTCCGTGTAATTAGTGATTGCGTCGTGGCTTGGTTCAGGTTTTGTGAAGTTGTCGTTGTTGATTTGGTATTGATTTAAATGCAATGGAGAGGGATGCGGGGTCGAAGTAAGGTTACTAACAGATGTCGTTAGCGTGACTCACTATCTAAAGTTCAAAACTGAAGCTTAAGGTGAATATCAAGGAGGAAGCATTTGTCTCATTTTATTATCTCGAAAAAAAGTGGTTTTCTGAGGGCTTTATGGCAGCAATGATCGTCTAACGGTGTCGTTGGTTGTTGATACATCACGTTAACAACGCTGTCTTATCCATCAGCCAACCCACAAGATGCAGAATGAAAACTGCCATGTATCTTCTATCAGAGATCTCCAAAACTACGGTGTAAGTGAACAATCTCGTCCAAAAAGGAGAAGTTAGATTCCATATCTGTCACGTGATATAAACGTGACACAATAGTCAGGCCATCAACCCAACATGACCATCTCCTCGTTTGCTCTGTTTGGTCTTCCATCCGCATAGTCCAACTTACATCCGGAAAAGTCTCACTTCCATCTCCTTTCAGAGCTTTCTAATTCCGCTGATTCCGATACTTACATTCCATCCACATGAGAGATGCTGCAAGATTGATAGGAACCGAGATGAGGGTAAAGGCAAAAATACCCCGCCGTTCCCTTAGAATCGTGGTGCGATAGCGACCTGGTATTAGAATCCTACAAACTCGCGCTCCAGGCCTCACGATAATGGTGACTACCGAGAAAGACCTTCTGGACCTGAGTCCGGCGGGTTCACCCGGCCGCGTGTCCCTAGCAGTTGGACGGTTCTTGGTCGCTAAAGGAAGGGTCAAAACCCACGCCGCTGGCTTAACAGCGGTCTATAGTATCATCAAGGTAAGATTACCTGATCGACAGGCCACCATTCCTTATTGAGGCTTAGTGATTCCTGAAATGCCATTATATACCCCCTGTAGCAATTAAGCTTTAGGCGGAATGCACTTCGCAGCAATCTTTTCGGTTCACTAAGTACGCGAGTTCAAAACACCAACAACTGTATAGTTGGACAGCAAAGTCGGTGCGCTTCAGATGTATTTTCAAAAATGCCTTTGTTTTCTCTTCCAAATACATTGGAATTTGGAATGTTCCGATTACCTGGTCGCTTCGAATTCAGAAGTATGGTCAGACTTCGGTTTTCCGACATCCTTATTTGGATCTCGTCCCTGCAAGCCCATGTGCTATCTCGTAAAATCCTATTCTAGATCACCTTCATCGTGGGATTTATGGCTGTAACATCGCCCCCGGAACTTCGCACCTCTCCCCGATTACCAAATGACACCGAAGCTGGTGACCAATTTGTCAGAATATCAGCAAATCCCAACACAGTAAGTAAGGCTGAATGTACCCCAGAATCAGATGAGCCCCCAAGGAACGTTTGGCTTACATGTACGACTACACTCAGAGCTCTTGGTTTTACGTTATTGGCCATTGAAGTATTTGTATTTACGCTTTAAATCTATTTTCATCTAGTATTTCATGAATTTTTTACTCTCTTCGCTTCAAGTCAAAAGGCTCCTTGAAAAAATGTGCTATTTCCAAGTCTTGGCTTTGCTGCGCACGAATGATTCAAGACCAAACCTCGTGCAGAATGGGCTGAACAGATCACACAACAAAACCGAGGTAAGAAAATCATCGCGTAATCTCTTTCCAGTTCTGAAGATAATGAATTGTAAAGAATACGGAGGGTCCGCGGGCTGGAATCATTCTTCAAGTCGAGAAAAGCGTCCTGCGGCTTGGAGGATGCGTCCAAGGGTTTATTACTAGCCTCAACCCAGGTGGTCAACCTCGGAAAGATCCCATTATCGTGGGAACGTGTACTGGCGCAGTGAAATATCTCCGAATTTTCCTGCGGCTCGTCCCACGGAACGTTGCTTAGAATGAAAGCATCAGCGTCTTATCCTAGTTTTATCGATTTTCCACGATGCACGAAGGATCTGGAACCTGAATGAAGCATACACTATGCAATGTGAGCTTTTACGACCATTTCGTGGCGCTTGCTAATCTGTTGAAATCCTTCTAGACCAGCGAAGTATACAGTTGAGCTTGTATAAAGCTATGAGCTTTCCTTTTGGCAAACGATTTCTGAATCATCCACAGGACAGCAGTTCAACAGCTCATCAGCGACCAACATTCATTCTTTTCCTTTTCCACTTCCACAATTTAGATTTAATTTTTCCTCCAAATAGACTTTCATAGATCTTTTAAAGCCAATCTTTAAAGTACAAGATGTTTTCCAAACTCAGTATTGCCGCTCTCTTGGCCATTGCATCCTCCATCGCTGCTCTTCCTCAGCAAACCGCCGTTCCAAGCTTGGGACCTCTTATCGGCGAAGAAGCTGTCATTGACAAAGCTGACTACCCGCACAAACATGGAGCGATTGCCCATGCCGATGGCGTCGCTCCCTTGGCCCCATCCCCAACAACACCACCTCAAAAACGTGCCGCTTCCCAGTTGGTAATTGAAGTGATCAACAAGTTCGGAAAGGACGTTTATACCCGACATGCTCATGTAAGTTACTCAATTTAACTCATCTGGCCTATCTAATAGCAAGACTAGAACCAAGGTGGTCCAGGAGCCATCTCTGGTAACGTCGCAGACGGAGTTTTGAAGAACGGTGCCAGCGCTGCTTTTGCCGTCCCAACTGGCTGGGCTGGAAACATCGCTGTCGTTGAGAACGGCGGTGGAAGAAAAATCGTCGGTGACGAGTCTTTGATTGAAGGATCCTTTGTGGCACAAGCTGGTGTCGGATCTGGCGCTATCATTGATGTTGATGTTTCCTATGTGTAAGCGCTCTTCCAAACTCCCCTCATCATAAGTCTTCAAAATTAACCTGAAATTTCAGCTCCGGATTCTCCGTTCCTATTGTTTGCTCTTGTGACGAGGTCGGACACGTCGTCACCGGATGCAACAAGAACCTCTGGGGTCTCAACTCCTGCCCTAACGATAACCGTGTCGGATCTTGCAAGTACGTACTCAATTCTCCAACCAGACCATTCCTTGAACTTCAATCTAACTTTTGAAACTATAGAAACCCCCAGAGAACCCAGGATTTCGATAATGCTCAACCTTCTAAATTCTTTGCTACTTGTGCTCATCAAGCTTTCACTGTTCCTCGTGACCCTGGTGCTAATGCCAATAACATCTGCACCAGGGGTGTTGTCAGATGCTGTATTGGAACCAGTTGTCCTGGACATCCTTAAGTAATGTTTAATATTGGTGGAAGATAGATACTAATTAGATAGTAGAAGGTTTTGGATAGAAGCGGGAGGGGATCTTAGTTGGAGAGGAGCCTAGGGGGGTGGGGGCTTTTTTTAAGACATCAGAGAATAATATTTTGTTTACTCTGGTATTCTCGAGAACGTACAAGCGAGATCAAGATATCATTACTTTCAACTTCTGAACGTGTGAAAGAGATCCATGGCATCTCAGATCTTCTTCTACTCTTAGAAAACATAGGTTCGCGTACTTGGGAGCAACCAGCAGCAGTTTCCAAGAGTAAGAGTATCGTCTAACAAGGTATTGAGGATAAATAAAAACTCTATCTGATAAGAGCTATGAAGCCCTCAGAACAATGTATTTGTTTTTACCCATGTCCTTATGAATGTGAGCTACAAAAGCAGTTTCCTGGTCATATGCAAGTAATAGACGCTCTCGGAACAATCAAATTCTTCCATCAAGTGGAAAGGAGGGAGCTAGAGGAAGCGGAAGATGCCAGTAATAGCAGTTATCTACTTACTCCCGAATCAGCGGTCAATAAATATCAAGTACCCAGCTCTCCGCAACGTGCTTATGAGCTGATATAAAAGCAGTGAGCTAAGCTTCCGTCCGTCCCCCCTCGCTTAAATGCTTAAGCGATGGCGAGCTCGTTCATCTCTGATCCGTGCGCTGGTAGCTTCTGAATTCCGGACATTTTGTTCAATTGGCTCCGCCAGTCCTTCCTACCGGATCTGGTCAGAACTCATCCGAATGTGGGGAAGATAGTGCTAGGTGGAGGTAATACAAGGCATTATTAGACAAAAGTTTAAAGCAACATCTATCCCACTCCTAAAGAAAAGCTTAGCTAGAGCGTATAAGGCTCGTAGGGGAAAGTCCAGCCAACTTTCGGGGGGTCGGGGGGGGG